GGAGATCCAGTCTCTCCATCCCGACGTCGCAGGTGCATCTCCGAGGCGGACATGTTTCCATAACCACCTCTTGGGGGATCGAGTTTCTTTCTTGGACTTCCACAGGCGGTGGATATGTATCCTGCTTATATATTTATAGATACAAACATATATACATGTAAACCTGAATACGTGCGTACACACATACGTGCATACATACGGATACACATACATACATCCATACATGCATGCATGCATACATACATACATGCATACAAAAGTACGTACGTATGACACATATGTATATATACACATGCATGCATGTGCATATGCTTATACATATGTGTGTGCATAAGCAAATACGTATACAGTAGCATCAACATATACACATACATACACATACGCATACATGCACACACACATGCACATACATACACATACGTACACATACACATACCTATACGTATGCAAATACACGTGCATATACCTATACACATACACACATCCCATTTCCTATATGTTTCTAAGCCGGGGGGTGGGAACCACATCCAAGAACCGCACCCCCAGGATCTAGGGCTTCCGGGCTCCTCGGACATCCTTGCCAAAGGCCCCCCGGCTCGTCCAGGAACTCCCAGGGCGCCTAGCTGTGTTTGGCCAGCAGACCCCAAGCGATCAGAGCGGTGATCAGAGTGGCCGAAGACAGACCCAAGACAGCCCCAGAGGCCCTCCAGAGGCCCCCAGATGGCCTCCAGAGGCCCCCAAGACGGCCCAGGAGGCCCTCAACCAGACTTCCAGAATGCAGAAATCGGTTCAATCTCTTAAGGAAACGTGCAATTTCAGCACATTCGCTGTTCGGGTTTTCACAGGGGCCACAACAGCCAGAAAGGCCTACAGTATCGCCCCAAGGTGACTCAAAAAGCTCCCAAGAGTGTCTCTAAACGGTCTGGATGGCCCCAAGACTGCCCAAGGAAGCGCCAGATGAGCCAAACAGAGGCCCAACATGCCCTCAGAAGGCGCCCAAGAGAACCCCAAGAAAGCACGGGAGGCTGGGAGGTCACCAGGAGGGCCTACGCACCCCAAAATTGCCCAAGGAAGCCCCGAAGGAGCCAAAAAGAAGCCCAAGAGGCTCTCAGAAGGCGCCCAAGAAAAGCCAAAGAAGGCACGGAGGACCTCAGAAAGGCCATGGGAGGCCACCAGGAGGGCCTGCGTAGCCTCCGTAATGTTCCTAGAGGACCCAAGCTCCCTAACACGGCCCAAGATGGCTGCAAGACGGCTCAACAGGGCGCCAAGCCGGCCCGCCTGGGCTCCAGCAAGACCCACACGGCGTTTTCCTTCAAATGTTCCGAATCCTGGGTTCTCAACCACAGTACCCGAGAATATGTCGCGATCTCGGGATCCCGTCCATTCCTGATGAATCAATCACGTTCGAGTGCCCCGTTGCGACCCGCTACAACATGACGTCCTCTGCTTGGCATTGTTTTGCGTGGGTTTGCCTGGCATTCCTCCACCACTCGTCCTCTCCCACATCCGCTTCCTTCCCTCTCTCCCCGACATTCCCCCCTCCTATCCTGCGCCCTCCACCCAGCGCCGTTCGGGGGCCCCTGGAGGCCCAGGCAGGGCCAGGGACCACCCGAAGTTTCGAAGACGTTTGCAAACCACCGCAGGCAAGGGGCCAAATTTCTGCGGCCACAAGGGATGGCGCGAACAACCACCATATGCAAAGCCGCACGGACCAAGGTGCATGGCGCGAAGCGCCAATGCAGTCACATACATATATATATATATATATATATATATATATATATATATATATATACATATATATATACATACACATGTGTGTATGTCGATCCGGGCCCCTGAGGGCCTACCTATATCCATACCCACGCCCGCTACGGTGGGGGCGTTTGTTAAGGAATAGTCCCAGGAGGCGCCAGACCCTGGAGGATTCCTTACCCAATGAGGGCGGCGGTGATATCCATGGCCGATCCACGATTGGAGTTCCACTGGCTTTCAGACCCTGGATTTCTTATCTAAGGGTTCCTTATCCAATGCCCGCACCTTAGTGCACCAGGACGCCGGTTCCCAGGCAGTGGACATGGATAAGATTCCCGCCTCGGCGATCTCCCGACCCTATCTGCTCGTGGCCCTGTGTGGACAGCCTCCAGAGTCGTTGGTCCCCCCACACACGCTGCCTCCGCCCGAGGATGCTGGACTGGTATGGTTACGGCGAGATCTCGCTCTCTGTCTTGGAGACCAGCCTGGGGCGGGCCGGGCAGGGACGAGGATGGGGATGAAGGAACACGATGCCTGCTTCGCGTGGGCTCATGGATTCGATCTTGCGGCGGCGGGCCGAATCAGACAACATCCTCGCTGGTTCTCCCGAGGGCGAGAACGGGTAAGTAAGCCTACAGTCGAGGCCTCCTCTTCATGCTCGATCCCCTCGCCCCCTTTCCACACCGCTGCCTCGCGGTCGTTCCCCTCCTTCCCCACTCCTCCACCTCGTTTGCCTCCCTTTACTTTTACGTTGGCCGTAAATAAGCATCAAGGCTGTTGCTTTCTTCTGGTGGCTAAACACAAAAGGTTTCCGACTTAGCGAAGCGCGACACAAAAGCGGCCGCAAATAGCTCTGACCAGTAGACCTGTCGGCAGAGGCCATCGTCGTCGCGAGTGTCGTGCGGTCCCGCTGCCAACCATCACCCGTGTCAGCGATAAGTTCATTGCCTACTATTCTAGCAACGCTCGGACGTGTGCATCTTTCTCGGCGAGGACCATCGAGGGGCAGCTTGGATCATCGGGGGAAAAAAGCACGCCCGAAACCGACAATGCACGGGGAATGGACGTCCGAGCGATGGCGAGTTAAGCCCGACGGAAATCATGTCCCTGACCGGGGCCGGCGGAGGGGTTGGCTGGGAGGATTGACAGGAGGATTGGCCGAGGAGTAGGCCTGGGGGATGCTCGGGGGGCTCGAAGGGGCAATTCTTCGATAGGTCGCCCATGGCAGAGTTTCCATAGCATCCAGTATTTGCCACGACGCCACCCAACACTCGACCCAGCATCTTCGATGTCTGGTCATGGGAGCCTTGGGCGGCGACGTTTACATATGATGTTCCTGCATGCTGACCGTGTTCGGACCGCACGTTGCCCTTCCTCCTGCTCTTCCTCGCTCAAATCCTGTCCGAGAGTGATCCAACTCGGGTCCAAACCAGTCCCGAATCGGACAGCGATGGGGGCCACGGAGGCTCCCAGGAAACAGACTAAAGCCATCACCACCCACCAGACCACCCCAACCCAACCCGAAGGCCTCAATTTGCCCTCCATTTCCAGTGGGGAGGGGGTCGGGAGACATTGAGAAAACACATGGAACCCGTACCCCCCAAACCCGAAGATCGGGTCAAGGTCGGGTCTTCGGGTTGGGTTGGGGTGGTCTGGTAGGTGGTCAAGTCACCGTCGGCATCATCGCCAGTGGCAGCAGACTTGCCGGCGTCGCTGCTCCCTCGAATGCTGCCCACCGGATGTCGCAGGGCTGCCTCGCAGGTTTGCTGCCGCGCCCGTGCCCGCAGGGGCCTGGGATCGAGGAGGAGGAGGAGGAGGAGGGGGAGGAGCAGGAGGAGGAGGAGGAGGAGGAGGAGGAGGAGGAGGAGGAGAGAAGAGGAGGATGAGAGGGAGGAGGGAGGGGAGGAGGGGAGGAGGAGGAGGAGAGGAAGAGAGATGAGGAGGAGAGGAGGAAGAGGAGGGTAGGAGGAGTGGGGAGGAGGAGGGAAGGAGGAGGGAGACGAGGGGGGGGGGAAGAGGAGGAGGAGGGCAGAGCAGCCCATGATGCTGGTGTCGGTTGTTGGCGCGATGGTGTCCCGAGAGGCCGCCGCCGCGCGGAGGCCATCGGCGGGGCCATGGAACACAGAAGCTGCCGGCCGTCCTGCTCCCCCATTCGTCGTGCTCCTCCTGGCTCCTCCTGGCCGTCCTGCTCCCCCATTCGTCGTGCTCCTCCTGGCTCCTCTTCCTCTCCCCCTCCTCCTCCTCCTCCTCCTCCTCCTCCTCCTCCTCCTCCTAAGCACCCCGGCCCAGACGGGGGGTTGCAACATTCTGATAACGCAGCCTTCCTTATCCCCCCCACCACACTTCCCTTTTTGGTGACGGTGCTAGTTGCGCCACAGCTCGGATGGACATCCTCATGGGACTCTCCCTTTGAGTGTTGATGCTTTGAGGATCGCTGCTGGCCGCCAGGAGCCAGTGTAGCATCATGAATGGCATCTCGGTGATGCAGTACAACCCGATGTCTGCGGCACCACATGATAGGCTGGTGGATGTGGCAGAGGTTACATCACAGTTCGACGTCGTCTGTTTCACAGGGACGGGTGCACGGCGATATGGGAGGGATGAGATCGTTTGGAGAAGAGCGGGGAGGAAGTGGACACTGAAAGCAGGATGGGCAAGGGCAGCGGGCAGCAATCGTAGCTGTTGCAGTATTTTGCTTGGCCCACGTATCCCCAAAAGATCAATTACGCATACCTGCTTCCCCATAGTCGCCATGGATTTGAATTCAGCGTCTGGGCAGCAGCGTCTGAGTGGAAGCGAGGACTGGACGCCAGTACAGGACGATCTCTTAGGGCATTCTCACTGGTTGGGTCGTCTGCGTCACTCAGCGGATGTGCTACTGCCCTTCCTTCAGATGCTCGATTTGGTCCCGATTAACTTGCATATTGGAGTCGGTCCTACATATGCAGGACCTGCTGGTGACACATCGCTGGAAGATTACATCTGCATACATCGATGTTCGCCCCCACAGATCACCTCGGCAGGACCGCTCAGAAGTCTTGATAGGAAGTTGCAGTTAATCAGACATCGCGATCATCGCGACCATCTTCCGCTGTATGCCCGATTTGAATATACTATCCAGGCCACCACAGGAGGAGAAGCATTAGGACTGCAACTCAACCTTCGCATTGGATGTGCCCCTCGGTATGTCAGGTGGAGCAAGGAGGCATTGATGGACAGCTTGAGGAGTGGAGTGGGGAGGGCTG